TCAAACCCACCAGCTGCTCCAAGGGAGAAAGATGAGGCAATCTGCTCCCATAGAGATTTACAGCCTTGGAAATCCTACTGGGACAGTTCTACTCTGTCCATAGTGTTACTATGAGATGGAATCGACTCAACAGCAGTGGATTTTTAGTGTATAGACATAAATCTTGAAAAACACGAACATTGAAGTTTAAAATCTTAATTGAAATGTTACATTTGCAAAATATGTATTTGTATACAATAGCAATTTTGAACTCTGTTTCATTTAAAATACATATTCATTGGCCTATTTTATCTACATTATTAAAGAAGAATCCCTTCACAAGTAGAACTTGGGTCTTTTCCTTTAATAACATAAAAAGAGAAACAACTACCAACACTACACTCAGTAATGTCAGCTTTTTAACAGGTTCCCTCATTTCTATATTATGCTATTAGTTGATTATTTCTGAACCACGACAGTCATCACAGCACACTTTCATTGTTTTCTAAGTTGGGCTGAGACCAGGAATAGATCTATTTATTCTTTGTGTGCAACCACAGTAGAATCTTCCATAGCACCCTCAAGTGCTTGAATGACTATCTACTTAGTATAACTTGAGGCACAGAAAAAGTATTTAGAAACACAATATGAATAAGGTGTTTTTTCTACTTTCTTTCAAATTCTAAGATGTAATATTGCCTTTGAAATCAATCACTAATGTTGCTGTTGTTGTTAGGTGCCATCAAGTTGGTTTCAACTCATGGTGACCCTATGTACAAAAGAATGAAACACTACCCAGTCCTGTACCATCCTCACAATTGTAGCTTTGCTTGAGCCCACCATTGCAGACACTGTGTCAATCTATCTCTTGAAGATCTTCCTCCTTTTCACTGGCCCTTTACTTTACCTAGAATGATATCTTTCTCCGGGGACTGGTCCCTTCTGACAACATGACCAAACTCTGAGAGATCGCCATTCTCACTTCTAAGGAGCATTCCAGCTATACTTCCTCTAAGATAGAGCTTTTCTCTAGCAGTCTATAAACTATTCAATATTATTTGCCAACACTGCAACTCAAATGCATCAATTCTTCTTTGGCATTCCTTATTCAATGTCCAACCCTCACATGAATATGAGGTGACTAAAAATATCCCTGTAGTGATACTGCCTCAGAAACCCAAGGAGGGGTCGCTATGAGTCGGGGCCGACTTGACAACAAAATAACAACAATAACAACAAAAAACATCATGGCTTGGGTCTGGGACACCTTAACCTTCAGAGAGATATCTCTGCTCTTAAACACTTTAAAATTAAAGTCTTTTGCAGTAGATTTGCCCAATGCATTCATTGATTTATTTCTCGATTGCTGTTCCCATGGGCATTGATTATGGATCCAAGTAAAATGAAATCCTCCACAACTTCAATCTTTTCTCAACTTACTGTGATGTTGCTTATTGGTTGGGTTGTGAGGATTTTTGTTTTCTTTATGTGGAGGTATAATCCATATTGAAGGCTGTAGTCTTTGATCTTCATCAGTAAGTGCTTTAAGTCATCTTCACTTTCAGCAAGCAAGGTAGTGTCATCTGCATATTACAGGTTGTTAATCAGTCTCCCTCCAGTCCCAATGCCATGTTTTTCTCCATTTACTCTACCTTCTCCAATTATTTGCTCAGCACACAAATTGAATATGCAAGATGAAAGGATACAAGCCTGATGCACACCATTCCCAATTTTAAACCATTCTGTTTGAATGACTGCCTCTTGGCCTATGTACTGGTTCCTCATGAACACAATTAAGTGTTCTGGAAAGCCTATTCTTCACAATGCTATTCATAACTTGTCATGATCCACACAGTTGAATGCCTTTTCATAGTTGATAACCCAGAGGTAAACATCCTTCTGGTATTCTCTGCTCTCAGCTAAGATCTATCTGACATCAACAGTGATATCCCTTGTTCCATTTCTTTTTCTGAATTCAGCTTGAATTTCTGGTAGTTCCCTGTTGATGTACTGCTTCAACCTTTTCTAAGTTATCTTCAGAAAAATTTCACTTGCATATGATATTAATGATATTGTTCTATAATTTTCACATTCTGTTGGATCACCTTTCTTTGGAATGGGCACAAATTTGGATTTCTTCCTTCCAGTTCATTTGTCAGGTACCTGTGTTCCAAATTTCTTGGCATAAACAAGTGAGCACCTCCAGTGTTGCATCTCTTGAAACATCTCAGTGTGTATCCCATCAATTTGGACCATTGTTTTTCACCAATTACTTCAGTGCAGATTGGACTTATTCCTTCAATACCATTGGTTCTTGATCATATACTATCTCTTGAAATGGTGGGACATCAACCAATTCTTTTTGTACAGTGACTCTAATGACTTATCCAAAATTATTAGCTTTTACAGTTAAAATATCCACTGCACATACTAGCAAATAGAGTAAAAGCTGGATTATCCAATTGTGTTCTACCAGTAAGACAACTTTTTAATAAGCATTAATAAGTTTGTGGTGCAAAGAGTTTGCTTTAAACTGCCAATTTAATGCTTTATGGTTCAAACCTACCTATCAGTGTCTTGGAAGAAAGACCTGGCAATCTGTTTCTGTAAAGATTATAGCGAAGAAAAGACTTTGGAGCTCAGTTCTACTCTCTAGCTCATGTGTTGCCTGAGTCAGAATCAATTTAGTGGCAACAGGTTTGGTTTTAGTACACTACTACTTGTATTCCCTAATCATGTCTATTGTTGTCATGCCTAGTTAAAGAAAATATATCCATTATATTAAAGTAGAAAATGTCACTTTGAAGACTAAAGTATACCTGACCCAAGCCTGGTATTTACAATAGCCTTATATGCATGTGAAAAGCTGGACAATGAATAAGGAAGACTAAAGAAAAACTGACTGACATGTTTGAATTATGATGTTGGTGAGGAATATTTAAAATATCATAGACTGCCACAAGAACAACAACAAAAAAAAAACCTGTCTTGAAACAAGTACCACCAGAATTCTCTTTAGAAGACAGAATGTCCAGACTTCATCTCTCATATTTTGGTCATGTAATCAGATGGGAGCAGTCCCAGGAGAAGGGTATCATGCTTGGTAGAGGGTCAGTGAAAAAAGGAAAGACCCTCAACGAGATGGACTGACACAGTAGCTATAACAATGGGCTCAAATATAGTAACAATTGTGAAGATCGCACAGGGCTGGGCAGTGTCTCACTCTGTTGTACACAGGGTCACTATGAGTAGTAATCAACTCGATGGTGCCTAACAACAACAACAATATATTCAGGTACAGTAATTTAAATAACCTTATAAATCTACTTGTTGTAGTACATATTTTCTATCTGAAGGAGCATTCAGTATTTTACTGTGATAATTTACTTATAAATTATTAACTATTAAGTCAGCTTCCAATTATCTGTGGATTAGCCATCACAATCTTTAAACCCAAAATGGCTTTTCCCTGGCATTTATTATATTTCCAGGCTAACTTCTTGTTTTATTAGTGTGTTTTTAGTGAACATAAGCTTAACTTAAGTCAATTGTATGACATAAGTAGGAAAGTAAACCTGAATGCTGAAAAAAATGTGATATAATGGTATTTCAAATTTAAAAAAATAGGTCTTAACAGCTTTCAAGTAGCCATCTAAGATGCAACTATTGTTGTATCCCCTTGTCTGAACCAAAGAAAAGTGAAGAAAATCAAAGTCATATGGAAACAATTAGTCTAATGATCTCATAGACCATGGCAACCTCAGCCTTCATGACCCTGAGACCAAAGAACTAGATGGTGCCTGGCTACCAATGCCAACCACTTGCAAAGGGATCAGAATTGGAGATCCTGGATAGAGTGGAAGAGAATGGGAGGAAAAATGTGGAACAAAATTCAAAAACACAAAAATGACCAGAATGACCGGTCGAATAGAGACTGGTGGAGCCCCCAAGATTATGACCCTGAGTTATCCTTCAGGTCTGGAACTGGATCCACTTCCATGGATCAGCTTTCAGCCAAACAGTATAAAGGCCTCTGAGTAGAACATCTACCCCAGGGAAATGCAACCCCCTACCCTAGGGAGATGTACCCCTTAGATCAATCAACCTTGGGAGATCAGAAGGGCAGCATTTGCATAGAGGTAAAGCTGAACAGACAGGAATGCACAGGTAAGAAGGCTGCCGGGAAGGGGTGGTCACAGAGAGGACAAAGGAGAACTGCCCCATAGGTTTTCCTGGCTGTAATCTTAATGGGAGCAGATTGCCAGGTCTTTTCTCCTACAGAACAGCTGACCTTTTTAGGATAGCAGCCAAGTGCTTTAACCATTGAGACATGAGGATTCCTTCTAGAACGATTAGAAAACCAATTTTCCCTAACTTTATTCCTGTGATATCCTACTCTGATAACCTAGAATGGGTCAGATGTCTTTCCTGTGAGCACTCTATACTTACATTTCTCATAACACTTGCTATGCTGATGTGTCATCAAATTTTTTCTTGTAATTTCTCAATTTATTGTAATACCTTAAAGCAAGGATTATTGAAGTACTAATTCACGACACAGTGCCTGGAATATAGTAGTTGTTGTTGTTTTGTTGTTGTTGTTGTATGTGCCGTGGAGTCAGACCCAACTCATAGCAACCCCTCCTTGGGTTTCTGAGGCAGTATCACTAAGGAAGTAGATTGACCAACCTTCCTTCCGAGGAGTGGCTGGTGGGTTTGAACCACCAGCCTTCTGGTTAGCAGTCAAGTACCTTAGGCACTACACTACCAGAGCTCCTGGAATATAGTAGGGGCTCAACAAAAGAATGTGAAATAAATTAATTAACTCTCATTGTTTGCATGTCTGCCTGTTGGGATTCCAGACTGCACCAAAACAATCGTTATCTCTCTCCCTCATCACTACCCCCATTACTCTGAAACCAACTCTTGCAATTCTCCTCAACATGACAAGTTGCACATTTCCCTTTGAAACACTTTAGGAAAATATATCAAGAGCTCTCCCAAGAGGTAGGATATCTTACCTTCTAAATCCTCTTTTTCAAAGTGTGTTTTGAGAATAGAACGAGTTCCACCTCTATCCACAACTGCTTCTTCATCATTTCTCTGTTGAATGGGGAGAAAAATTAAATTTAGTAATAGTCAGAAAATAAACTTTAATATGAACAAATATTTTAGGACTTTAATGCAGTCACTTAAGTCTACTTGTAAATGAACATTCTATTTGATTATCAAGTGTTGGCTTTAAAAGGAAACTAAAATAAATTTGAGCACATATTCAGAGAGGGAATGTCATTTGATTTTCTATGAAACTGAAGGCAGTCAAACATTCCAGTTGGCATCATCTGTCAGTGAGATAAAAACAGGAAAGAAATAGCTATACTGTCAATTTAGTGACATTCATTTTTATCTCTAATATGAATTCTTCTTAACAAGTTAATAATTTGAACTATACAAGGAAAATATGAAAATCATTGGTATTAACATACTAAAGGTATGGCAGGGTGAAATGATTCTACTATCACTAAAAATAGGGTTAGGGGAGCTAATCCCTTGAAAGAAGTTAGTTACAAGTATTAAGTAAACTATAATTCTAATTACTTTGCTTGAGTATAATGCATTTTATTCAAAAAGCTAAACTTTAAATTATGGTCATGTGCATTAAACCTTCATTTAGTTGATCTGTATATTTTTACCTTATTTAGAATGGCTAGGCAGAGGCTATGTCTTCTGAACATTGCATGCAATGTTCAAATCAATGCACTCACTGATTTGATACTTGGTAAAATAATGGTGGGAGAGGGAGTAGTATGATCTATTAGACCATACAGGAATGGACAAAACACAAAATACTGAATGACATAAATTACAAATTATTTCCAACATCATGTGTTTATGTGTTCATTAGCACGAAAGGAGGAATGAAAAACTGAACTATAGATGAATAAAGTTTCCAAGATATATTTCCAAGCCTATTCTCCTTGGAAGGAAGATTGGCCAATCTACTTTTGTAGTGATACCACCTTGGAAACCCAAGGAGGGGTTTCCTTGGATCCGAATAGACAGCAGTGAGTTTGGTTTTTCAGTCTAGATTCTAGAATATGATAATTAGAAATGTCTTTTCTTCTTCTTCTTCTTCTTCTTCTTCTTCTTCTTCTTCTTCTTCTTCGAAACCAAAGACTGTTCCAAAGAAGGAAAATAATATAACCTTTTCTTCTATACATCAACTACGTTGCAACATCAGGCACTGGAACCCCGCCTTTCTTTCACTGAGGAAGCAATCTTTCACTAAGTACCGTAATAAGTAGGCCTGAAAATGAGAGTATAGGAATCCTTATAATTAAAACACTGTTTCATTTAAGAAGTTGGACTCACATTGTTCTGAAGGAGCTGAATAGGCTTTCCAGGTAAGGGATGCAACAGATGTAGAAATATATATAGTCAGAGACCTAGAGCTGAGGTTAGACGAGCTGAATCCAAGCGTTTGATGGAAAAATACCTAAGGGTTAAATCATGAAGATTCCCAAACAGAAAAGGGTGAGAATGTGTACTTTAAAACATAAACTGAAGGGTATTGCTGTGCAGAACAGTGTTATGATTAACGTTTTTTTTTTTTTTTAAAGTAGATTTAATGCAATTTAGTGATAAGATAGATTTGAAAAGGGAAAGTGACTGGAAGAATAAACTAAGAGGCTAACAGCTAGATATGGATCAGACAAAAAGATTGCTAAAGATGTTAATCCCAGATGTTAAAGAACATGAAGATATCACTGGAAGAAGTAATCAATTTGTATGGGAGTCAGTTTAGTTGTAAGAAGAAAATTAATTATATTGTGGAGTTGTTGATTCAAGTAATAGTAAGATTTACAAGTGGAAATTCACAGCAGATAACTGAGTATGTGGAATTAGAGCACAAATGAGAGGTGGGTCTTAGAGATGTAGATATAAGTCTCAGAAAATAAGTATTTAAAGGTTAAAATTTGCCTTGAATATCATCTAGTACACCAATTCTTAATGTTTGAGCACCCCCCCATAATTTTCCTTTCAAAGTGTTGTCCAGACTATATTTATATTTCTCAGCAAAGGGAAACTCTATCACAGAAAAGAACTTATTACATGTTTACATAGATATGCCTTTGTAAAATGCCCTTTACATTGAGATAAAATCTATTTCCCTCTGATTTTTAACCATCAGTGCTATATCTGCTCTCTGAGCTATATAAAATCTTCTGTCTCTTCAAGGTGATCCTTCAGACAACTGCCTTACTCCCTTATCTCACTTCTACTTTCTTTCTGGAATACATTTTTCTAATTACTTATTCTGCTTCTTATATAAAATACTCTTATATAACATACTCATATGTGTATGTTGTCTGTGGGACAAAGAGTAGAAATAAAAGCCTGTAAATAGGGTACATGAGGAATCAGAGTAAAGAGAAGAGCAATAAAAGAACAATTAATAAATCAAACTATATAGAGACATTTAAAACATGCATAATTATATTTCAATGCTGTTGACCTTGAACTATATCTTCATTGACAGCCTTGAGAGGAGGAGCATATGGGGAAAATAAATGGCAAAAGGATAAAACTTAATCAAAGGGAACTATGGTGAAGAAATAGGAAAAGCTGATATAGATCAATCAAGATGAAGTAACAGAAAAATTAAATAGAGATAGGTTATAATTAGAGGGGGCTGGAAAATTAAAATAGAATAGTGCTTTCTTTTGCAAGTCAGTTAGACCTTTGCATATCTGAAAGCTAAAAGGAAGATGCTAGAACAGAAGGAAAGAATTGCTAGAAAGAAGTAAATAAAAAGGCCCCAAAGAGCAGGAAAGAATATGATACTGGACCAAGCTACTAGCCTTAAAGATAAGATTTGGAGGAAAGATTGGGAGGATTGTTATATAAACCAGAGATATTCTGAAGAAATAAGAGAATGGGAAAGGAATCTTCCACTGGATGGTGCTGGCTGGCATTTTAGGCAAAGTCAGAAGTGATATTATCTTTCAGCAGTGACAGAGTGACTACATGAAGGAATCGAGCAACTGAGAACAGTAAAAAATTCAAATTGCTCCTGAACATGGAATTTTGGTTGACATTCTCAGGACCTTTTCATGGATAATTAGAATAGACAACTACCCCTAAGCAGTTTGAGATGGCCAAAGCAAAGAATGCTAATAGAAAAATATCACAATATATTCTACTTTCTTTGGATCGGCATTAAGGATAGTTAAAAAAAAAAAAAAACCCTTGTAAGAGCAAGAGTATATCAAATTACACCCTTACAGGATATTAACAGTGTGGTTTAAATTAGCTTCTCTGATTAGTTTGCTAATGTCTTAAAAATGTCTTCAGAGAATTAGATACTAGTCTAGTAAATGAGATGGGAGGTATATGGTTAAACATTAGCTCAACTATTTATAAAAGGATGGAAGTAATAACAGTGTTAAAACCGCAGAGATATTAGAGTCAGCTGCCAAAAGTGTTCCTAACACATTCTCCTTTTAGTTTTTATTTTATCAAAAAATAAAATTCTAGTGTCTGCGAAAATATGGCCTACATGTTCAATAAATCAGTATTTTGAGATAAGATTATAGACAGATTTCAGCATAAGGAAGTATAGTTCTTATGTGTTTCATCCACAGAAAAGTACATGGTGGAAGGACATGTTTTATAGTCTATAGGTCCTGTGTCTTTCTAATGTCATGTGCTGAGACAGGTCTGGGCAAAGTGGTTGATAACAAAGTTAAAGAAACCTATACTATTAATGACAGATAGTGAGAGTAAAAACAAAAATGAAGGTAGGATTCAGTGCTCACTGCTCTTCTCAATGGTGAAGTTTAAAAATATCTCACTGTTGGTTTAAGAAATAATGGCAATAATAGTAATAATAATAATAATAATAAAGACAGGGATTTAAATAATTTTCCTGAAGCAGACAAATGTAAGTTTCAGTTTATTTAGAATCTGTTCTTGATACATTTACAAATCAGACGTATGGCCTGTGCAAGACATATTCTAATATATGTCACACTGGAAAGTATGTCTCCCCTCTGGGGCTTTGTTGGGCAGGATGCCAAAAGCTAAGTCATGCATCCACATTCAAAGGCTAGAAGGAGCACAATTCCACTATGTCTTAGAATGGCAATCTCTTAAAACAATTACAAAATGGAAAGCTTTCTATGGAAGATAAGAAAATGTTTCCTTAAACAATAATATGTTTAATTCTGATTTCAAGGACCTGAATCAATTTTTCAACTTACACAAAAAGGTATGGATCTTCTTTATATAAAGCATGTATATGCAGTCAGCTTACAAAACATAATGCCATTGAATCCCTAATGTAAAAGATATATATATTTACCACAATAGAAAAAAAAAATGGGGGAAAAAAGATGTTGAGATAAAGAGAAATTTTGCTGAAGTAGAATACTAAGAGAAAATAGTTAATTATTTAATTACTATCCAAATTGTTGATGGAAGTGTCCTAATTTTAATATGTGAATTTAAAAAAGAAAAGAACTAGTAGCTAGAATATGAAGGTAACTCAATGTACATGTCTCATTTTAAAGATTACTATACATTATCCCCTTTATATATTCTCTGGAAGTTCAATAGGAATATCCAATGTATACTCTTTTAGGCTAAAAAACGTTCAAGATACATTTAGCACTAATTACACAGAAAGACTTCTACTTTAGTTATAGTTCAAAATATCATTTGTATATTACTCTAGACTTTTTAATAAAGCAATTTCCTTCCCCCTTGTTACCAAGAGCTAGTTAACACAGGATATGACAGAGGGAACACATTTGCCTACCTGAAGGACATGTGGCACTGGGTGCTGGACTCTAGTTACTGCAAGTATACCCATAAGATAAATTTTTATTTCATTTTGTACTGAGTTACTCTCCTTAGATTTGTTGAACATCAAATGCATTAACACTCTAATTTTCATTTGGTAATTTAGGAACCAATTTCAGCACTGTGTAGGTAGAGAGCACGTAAATATATTACATTGCTTCTCAAATGTAATTGATCCAGGCTACATTATTGGCTACACCATTTATAAAATGATTGGTTCCAGTATGTAGCACAGTCAC